TGATACTCTTCACGCAGGGCTTTCGCCTGGGCAACCGAAAATGGAGCTAATCAACCGATTTTGCTTAACATGACATCCATCAGTTCACCATCACCAGTTGCTGTGTGACCTACACCGGTAGAACGAATCGGCTTCTCCCACAATGGATGCTCGAAAATCTTTCCAAATGGTTACTATGTAGCACAATCTCAGCGGTGGATCTGATAAGAGAAACCCAGGGGCATCAATTGCAAAACATCTCATGACAACTGGACACATCGTTGAACCATTATTGTCATTCAGGCCGTTGTTACGTAACCTGAATCCCAGACTCTTAGTTTTCAGTGAAGTGGTGTTCATCGTGTTAGTTAATCCCATTTTTGTGTGCAGAAACGTTCCTCAAGTAATCAGTCAATTTTGCCTGAAACAAATTCGGGAATTAATTCGTCCCCCCTCTGTCCTCCGACCGTAAGTCGTTAACTCATTTGGGTTATCAAAACTCTCTTGTATAAATACCTGATCATTTTACTGTGTAGCGACCGAAGGACTTAAAAGCAATATTAATATCTCGCAGTATTTGTGTTTTCTCTTTGTTCCAACGAACTAAATAAATGAGCTCAAATGTTTTAAATTATCATGCTCTTGTGAAGTACTTGAAATCCCGGGTCATTATTCATTGTTCTTTGGTGGAACATACTTCTAACATCCCTGTTCGGAAACACCATTAGTTTCCATTGTCAATTGATATCCGTTCGATCGGTATAATATGTATTTTTAGAGATGATAAGTTGTTCTTTCTTTTTTATTTACTTAGGGATGGGTAGCATTAATACAAGAGACTACGGTATATAGTTTGTTTATACTATTTATAGTTAATTTCGTTTTCTTTTAATATGAAAAGAAATGCTTTCGTGATCAAGTGTTTCTGAAGAATGTTGCTGTCGTTGGTTTTCGCATAAACACACGCACCAGGCTGTCGAGGAGGACAGGAAAATGCAATGTGAAAGATGATCCTTTTTGGGTTGAGTTCAGTAGGTTCAGGTCTTCTTCCTTTCAGATCCGAATTTGTAGAACATCTAAGCGGGATGTTTAGCTGGCCAATGGTGATTCGGCTATTGGTCAGTAGGCTCCATTTATCGTTCACTCAAATCACACCGATGTGGCTCGACCGGATTAAAATGTTTGCGTAACGCTTGCCGCCAGTGATGTAAAAGGCGCAGATTGACAAATACTACTACCGCCTGGTGGACACACCTACCTTATCCAGGTAAGCCGGTCAGTCAGTCAGTTGAACAGTCAAGCAAATACTACTACCCACCTATTCCCAACAAAAGCTACTTGTCCGATGGAACGTAGACTGTGGAGTACCTACCTAACCGGGTGTGCCAACTGTACACTGGTGGTTTGAGAGCATCACCGACGCACGCTTACCGGCCAATATCAACATGGGCACACACACCGCAAGCATAAGAAAGCATGCACCTATTTGCGCGTACAAACACGCACACGCGAGCGCAGATAGCCAAAAACAGATTTAAGTACACATGGACTTGGTAGTTGGTCAACCACGTGAATGATCCCCTGGCACTCGTATACACACACATACTTAGAGACACAACCGTGCACAATAGTTTACGGTTTGTATAAGAGCCCGGACCATTCTCCACGAAAGTTTCAATGGTGTTAGGCAAATACAGATATTTTAACTGTTCTGTTTAACAATTTTATCATTTGGTCTGTGCGCTTTCAAGGAGCTTTAGAAATCATTCAGTGTTCAACTGTTTCCCTGCGACACTTTGGATCGTCTCTATCAGTCTTTCGTTCTCACTGACGTCGTCCTGTTGTCCTCGGAGTGAACTCGTCACGCGAGGATCGTAGACCGCAGAGCTCCACATTCCCAGGAAAATCTCTAACGTGAAAGTTTACGAGGAAACCAAGCAGTTGTTTGTGGTCCAGCGGTGGTAATCTGCACCCATTCACACACACACGCACGCACGCACGCACGCAAATAAAAACGGAATTTCTTTGACTCCAATTAGTCCGTCTCTGATTTTCGGTGAGTAACGACGAGTTCATTCACTTATTTGACACGTATACCATCCAAGTGCATTCTCGGATAAATAGTCTCCGGTTGAGGACATTTCCGTGATATTGATATAGCTCTGGTGTCGTCGTATGGTACAAAAATATAAAATATCTCCACATCGTTATTCGCCTGTGTATGTAAGTAGTTGTGTTCTATAACTTAAAAAGTGCTCTAAAATGTTGGGTTTTGATTGTGTGATTTCAATTCAGTTGAATTTTCACGGAGCAATGAACATCATCCAGGAGGTGAGGTGAGGTCATCGTCTTGGAGCCGCAGAGGAGGGTACTCGGTTCGATCCATTTGATAAAACTCATTCACAGTGCATTATCGATCAGTAAATGTTAAAGTCTGTACCATTCACCGCTGATTAACAGACTTTTTCTATATAGATATAAGTTGTCGGACTGATTTTCATAATATCAGCTTCACTCTTTTAGAAGCAACGAATTGCATGCACAAGAAAGGCCATCATCTCAGAAGGTAAATACAGTGACCCCCTGCCCTGGTAACACAATTCTAGCGCTGACATTTAAGCTTTTCCACAGGATGGGCTGTAAAATTGTTCTTTGAAGACTGTTTAATTTCCCATAAGCTTTGTGTTATGTTGTGTGAGGTGAGAATTCAACAGCCTAAAACGTACACCCAATTAGTGCAATAAATCGATTTTATTCCCGATTTGCATCAGAGCCTCGGAGCGTGGCGGGTTGATCCATGTTCAAAAGTATATGCTGTTTACGGTTTGTGCCCTTATTCCCATTGCGTTTTCCTTACCTGTTACTACGTTGTACTACATCCACACCTGTGAGCCTTCATTTACCAAACGGTGGAAGCTAGTACCCTTCGATATGTTTTATGTTTTCACAATATCAAAGCCTCTTGTGAGATCGATTTATTGAGCTGATTTGTTTATTCATACTTTTAAGCGCGTATAATAATCAAGTTAGATAGGTCGAGTCGTGTGTGATGAATAGTCCGAGTTAAATGATGAACAGAGAATTTCAGTCTACCCGGAGATCGGTGGCCTACCGAACCGTGTATAATACAACCAGTTCCGAAACGACTGAGACTTTGAAACACAATGGCACTAGAAGAACCAGATATGTGGGGAATTTTTGATTTTTGCGATTGGTGAGGATCGATAAATTCTGATGATTGATCCATTCGTCATTCTGTACAACCAGTCAGCCTGCATACGGAAGCATGTTTGCTCGGTGGTGTCGCAACCGGGAGGTGGGGATGAACCAATGAGGAAAAGATGCTGTAGCTGTTGAACCTCCTTAGGAGACAGCGAGATCGGGAACATTGGATGTAGCCTAGACTCTGTGGATTTTCAGCCCATCGAGAGAATCAATTTGGGATAGAAAAACTGTGTAGAGAATGTGAAGAGGGCGAAGGAGTGAAGGCAGAGGGTGATGGATGATTGGAATATTATGTGGCCGGTATGAGAAACCACTCAGGAGTCAAGGGAACAGCAGAGCACGCAAACGTCCGTGTGCGCAAGTGTGCATGCACACACACATGAACGCTTACCCATGAACCTATGATGTAAAATGCGGAGGTTAGTGTGCTCGATAAAATGAGTTTACACACCAAGGAAAACACAGTTGTGAAGATCAATTTACAACAGTGGAGAACAACTTCTGTGGCTCCCAGAAAATTCTGAACTAGAGAAAGGCCAAACAACGAGTATCACATTCAATTGCGCATTCATTTGGTGAGGTTCCCGGGAGAAGGGGTGAACGTTTTCTTCTCAATGCAAAGTTTACCCAATGTTTACACAATAATAGTGTGTGAGAATTGTCAAAGTTCGTATACTCACCTCCATTAAATCTGTGTGGTGAGATCTTATTGTTTAACAGTTCATCAAAACGAAATAGGTCAAAAAAAATGTATGATAAGGAGGCTGAAACACTGATCTCTTGGGGTTTAAGCGATCAATTTTATTAGGACGTGGAAAAGCATATTCTGTTCACATTGATGTCTTGGATTCGATGCTAATCCACTTATACTTATTATTTTTATTTCAAGCACAATATTTCTTTTAAAAGTGATAAAAGCATTCAAATGCCTTACGACTTTTACGCATACTATGTTGGTGCCACTCAATAAAAACGAACTAATTTTTGAAATTCTATCTTTAATTTTAATCCCTGTGGTTGGGGGAGATTCTCCATCAAACATGAGAGATCCCTGGCACCGGAACTGATCTGTGATGGCTTCTTATACTCGCTAATCCGGTACTCATGCTCGGATAATTGTGGCCATTCAGCAAATCTGCACAAGTGTGTTTTTCCAAGATCCTCAGTGCTTTTTAGGTCATTGTAGACTAATTATATATTGTCGCCGGTCTGGATTCCAAGATCCAAAGGTAATTCAGGGGCGTTTGATCAACGATCATTGGTGTAATACAATACTTTTCACATACTGATCTGCTCATCCTAGGAAAGTACAACCATCGGAACCAGGTTCCCAATTCTCAATTAGGTTTTTGTAATCACGCGGAATTAGTCTTTCTCGGCTAGCACCTGTGATTGTCTATTTGAACGCCAGTAACACCACCTGAAGGATCCCACGTCTGTATGACAAAAGATCTTTCATTTGGACAACTGAATATCTTGTATAGGGGAGGGGGTAAAATAGCAGATAAGAGAGAGAGCATCGCCTGCATTACAAATATATCCCTTTCAAGTATAGTGAGATCAAGGAACATTTCAACTGCTCCTGAATCAAACCTTGTTGTTCTAGGCAAGGTATGTTAAATGATTCATAATTTATTCCGACTAAGTTCGTTTGTTTTTACATTTAGACTGCTGGCTGGCTAATTTGAAAACACTCACTATCACTTAAGCATCTTCAACTTTGTATTTGGTTTCACAACCCATCCCTAAACTACTCCAATTTTAGCCCGTTTGTACAGTTCAGCACATCAATAGCTATGCCCGTGCCAAGTATCGCAGTCGAGGATGAGGAGGAAGAGGAGGAAGTGCCCAAAGTACGACCCAAACCGCTCATCAACATGCCCGTGATTGGAGACTCGTCGGATGAGAGTGAGGAATCGGACAGCCAAAGTGATAATGAGGATATGATGACTGCGGAGGAAGAGGCTGCAGCCAGACGATATTTGTCCGGAGGAGCGGAAACCGAACAAAGACGGTGAGGGTTACACGAGTGGACTCCGGTATTTCAGTAACGTTATTCCGGTGGAATCACCGGGATCAAATTGTGCATAGTTTGTGTCCGTTAGGATGGAGAGCGCTTTCCCAAGTGGAAGACTGTGTGTTTTGTTTGATTTTATGGAATAAGCCTTGCAGCAACTACAAGTTATCCAAAATTTAAGTTTCAGTAACTAAATTTAATAATAGAGGATTAGAAAGGACCGCCACTTGTCGAATACGAGTCATAACTATATATAGGTTGGCAAGAAAACTGTTCCACGTCGTTTCATTTAACGAGTAGAATAATAACAAGTGTTCTTTAGGTCCCAAATCGATAAGATCTTCCTCACGATCATAGTCGTAATGTTCAAGGCCGTTTCAGTCAATGATTGTTGAATTTTCTCTCACTCGATTCATTCACAATGGTGCATGATCCTGAATCTTTAGAGGAGTTAACCGTGACAGAAAGACTTCAAATATTCTGTTTTATTTGCGAGACATATGTGTTTAGTTTTATCATCTTTTATTTGCACTCAACAATGAGGAACTAATTATTCTGTCATTCGTCTTTCTCTTCAGAATGTCCTCACTCGATGTGTATCTCAGCCAACCGCAAAAAGTGAGCCCTTTTTTCTATGGAAATATCTTTATCGGTGCCTAACTTTGGCATTTAGCTCTGTCGAATCCTTTTTGGCATAAAATATCCGGTCAACTAGGATCACAAAAAACAACATTCGACCTGGTAACCACATCATCAAGAAATTTGCGTGACTCTCCTGTTGCAGTCCGATTACGTACCGAGACTCCTTGATTGAAGTGAAACATGTTTGGGTTCAGTCATCTTGCCCAAATTGTCTAAAGCATAAAACGTTGCATCATTAGAAACTCGCAAACCAAAGCGAAGATATTTTGCTGTAAATTACGGCCGAATGATGGTGGATTAGCGATAGGTGAAAGCGTCATCCTGTCTACCCCGATCGTTGTCCAAAACGCGACGCACGTCTGTGTGTGCGCCTGTGTGCGTCTCTGTGAGCGGGTCCGACGTTTGACGATAATAGTCTGACATTCCAAGTAAGTTGGACTTTTCTTGAAGAACGGGTGGATACATTGAAATGGATTTAGTGAAGCAACTGAATGACCAAATTCAGATCTAGCAGCACGTGGCTTCTGACGAATCTTCCGACAGACACAATTTATTGGTCTAGACAAATTCACAGACAGTTTCGGGGTGGATTGGGGGAATTTTAGTCTGATCTTACTACAGTGCATCAATTGTTTTGCAGATGCCACTTGATCTACTTATGAAAATTCCAATTACAGAGTGAAAACCAAATTCAAACTGATAATGACTTCGAATTCCTACTGATTCCATTTGAAAACCAACGTTCCTCAAATTGCGTGATAGTAATTTTTCTCACAGAACCGCTTTTATTGCTGCTTTGTAGTCTGATTTCTCGAAAGTACCAGGCTAAAAATTCACTTTAATTTCCTACCAATAGGTATTGTAATTTAGGATAAAAATTATTCCGCCTTTAAAAGCTTGAACATATCAGTATAGGTTTCTTTTGTTTATCCAGCTGAATCACCGTGTGCATTTGCCTGCTCCACATAGAAGTTCTACTGGTTCTTTCGAGGTTGTGTCTACTCCATTATCTGCGATGTTTTGTGTGCTCAATCTGCTGAAATTTCCGCACATCTTACTAACCATGTAATCTGTCCATTGTGTCCACAGACGGCTGAACCGATGATCATCAATCGACGACTTAGTATGCGTGAAGAACAGGAGGCGGTGAGTTGACATTTCGGTTTTACTCTACTTGTTCGAACGACTCAGTTTAAGAATCTATGGACCAGATGTGAACAACCAATACCGGGATGGATTTCAGAACAGTGCTATCGGTGTGACCTCGTAGTTCAGCTGGTAGAGCGTGCGCGTACAAAGAGTAGGCGGCGTCCACGTGTGGGTTTGAATCCCACCGAGGCTACTGAATGTTTCCCAATCGACATACAGAGAACATATGCTTATCGATAGGATATAACTCATCCGTTGCTGACTTTTTGATATATGAGTAGTAGAACTCGAAACGAAGAGAAATATTTTTGGATCCTCACAACAGTACAGTATGCTCAGCTGATATTTAATGACCAGCTTATAATATGAACACAATAATCCTTTTTAGTCTCATACTCTATGTCACACCTAAATGTAACCGGTTCCAGGAAAGCTTAGCAACTTTTCTATTCGTCAGTGGACATTTTTAACTCCTAATAAGTGTGGCAGAGAAGTAGATTTTGAACTTAGGTGGTTATACGCTTTCAGTTCATGCATCGCCAGTGATGGACAGGTCTGGATGCGTTGCGCTGATTCTAAAAGCGTGATAACTCGACCACTTCCATTCCGCTGTCTTTCTCTTCTCGTGGGCAGCTAGAAAAGTTTTCCAAATACATTGTGTGACATGTTTTCAAATTAATACTACATTGGTCAGTTGTTATGACAAGTTTAACGACATCCCTGAACACTTGAATCATTGGTCAAAGTGAGGCTGATCAGAACTTTATGTTAATGGTGAAGCCTAAATAAAAATATCGCAAACTACCCTGAGTCATCAAAGATGTTTGCCAAATGTAAAGCATTCTGATGCAAAGTTTGCCCACAGCTGTGGAACGCAGAGGCATTTTGTGATCAACTTTTATGTATTAGTTCTCCTGGTATTTTCCGTCACGATATGTCGCAACAAGAAGGAAAAACAAATAAAGTACTCATCAAGAATGAAGTTCGTCATATTAAAAGAAATTTTCAATATAAAAAGATATAAACATATCAACCGTTCACAATAGGTTTGCATCCTTTAAAGAATTGAAGAGGTTTTACAATAACAGATTTGAGAGACAGGGTAGATGATCCAAAATACACGGTTCGTTTGAATTCGAACCATTCCAGGAACCACTTTCAAGTATTTGCATTGAGAGCACAGAATACGGAAATCATTGTGAGACATTATGGAAGAATGTGAGTAGACTGAGTTCAATGCACCTATACAGTCGAGGGATGTAGAAAACCGTGATGCCGAGTGAATCCAAGATGTTGCAACTAGTTTCTTTCAATGGATTTATCTATCTCCATAATGATTTGTGTCAGACCTTTCGGTTATTAGTGATATGTATAATCGCTTTCAATGCATGGATGGTTGTTCATCAAATTTACTTAATTACAGTTTTTGGTTTAGAAACGGATTTTTGTTTCAATCAACACAAGCGTACCCAGTTCCCTAATTCATTTATTTTACTTGAAGGTGTATCGTAAATTATGTCTCTAAAAACACCGATAAGCTCAGTTTCATTTTCCTTTTGCTGAAAACGACTGGTATAAAATAATATTAAATGGAGTGACTGATAATAAATTGCCTTTAGTTACTGGGACCACAACTAGATTCACGCCCTATAAAAGTTTTACTTCGGTTCATATTGATAAATGGTATCTTGGTAAAAATCTTCTGCAAGGTCAATTGAATCACAAACAGTCGCTCTAACGAAGCATAGCACACACCGAGTTAGCTGGCTTCTAAACAGTTCTTCCTCTCAATTCAATCGTTGTTCACTTAATAGTTATTTTTAGCCTCAGTAAATAGTTACTTTTTATTGGTAGTTTACCCTTATGAAAGTCCCTTTCAAGTTATATTATTTTTACCTAAACTTCCATGGCCTTGGTCATCAAGGTTAAATCATCTGAGAATGGAAAAGAAATAGATCAAAAGAGGTATGTGAATGTGCTTAACTTGACGAGAAGTTTTTGATGAAAAATCCTAGGCTTTCTTCATAACCCTTGATCATTTCATCTTTTCGGGGTGGAATTCATTCCTTTGCCCAGCGTGCCGTCCACAATTGACTCATATTGTTTGATAAAAAGGGGTTTCAGGATAAATATGATGTTATATAATGTCTTACCGGTCACCTCAATTCCATGTATGATTCAGAGGGGTAATTCATTTAACAATAGCTCACTAACTTGGACCGTGTTGTGATGCCAAACCTGTTTTCTCATTCAGCGAGTTCGGATGGCTTCCTGCGAATTAGTCATGATCTATTGAAGCTGATGGGGATAGAGTGGTATAGTGGGTGAATTTTGAGAAGATGTATCCATTGAATGGAACTATGTTACATGGTCTATCTTTTAGTAGACTACTCACAGTCTACTCAATTATGCACTTATCAAACTGATTGTCTCGGTATCTGTGCGATCTTTTACGTGAATGAAACATTCACCAGGGCCGGCTTTTTTACACTCCATCAAACTTCCAATGTCTTCATATACCGGAGAGGAGAACAATGAATAATATGCATACACTGATTATACATAAACAAAGATTCTCGTGTTGTATTTCAGCACCCGAAACCATTAAAACGATGCTATATGTGATTGTTATTCTGTTTTAAACTTGTAATTGCAAACAAATAGATTTATCTANTAAGGATTGCTAACCTAGATAATGCATATTATTCACTGTAGTGTAGGCACTTTGGGATCACACTGGATTGCGGAGTCAGAAAGGGATAGAATAAAGTCTAATCCAAATAGAAATCCCACGACAAAATCGTTGCACCCCCTCCCCCTAGAAGTTTTCACTATCTGCACTTCTGCATGCACGACCATCATCGTTTTTTGAGAATCTGGATAAAAGCTGATTCAAGGGTAACTTGATCAACTTAATCAAATTCCACTCCTACAATTGACTCAGGGAAACTAGCAGTTAAAATAAATGCTCTACATGGATTCTCCACCAATATGGCTTCTCTCGATCCCGATTGGACGGAGTATCATATTGCGAACAATGTTTGTTTACTGTTCATGGGACGAACTACAATGATACTGGGTGCCCACTTCACGTAGGTTCGTTTGGCAACATGTTAGTAATTCACCCCATGACAAAAGAATCACATCCAAGTTACATGCTTTTTATTTTGCAATAATTCTTTTTTGATAAAAAATAACTTCGGGGTTCAAATGGGTCATCTGAACAAGGAGGTGAACAAATCTACAAGTGGTTTTAATTGTTTCCGCTCCAACTATTGTGCCGCAGTGTGATCTGGACCTATTACACGGTCTGACCATCATATGTGCACTGACATCGCTCTGATGAAATGCCCCCATCACTTCTAGATTGATCGTTATTAGTAAGCATCTTCCATGACACCCTGATTTGCAATGTCTTGTAGTGACCTACTTGGATATCTTTATTCTTTCAAGGTTATAGGGAGTGACTTGAGCATGGTCGTAGCTCACACTAGTTTGTGAACATTGGTTACTAGATATTAGGCCCTTGGGTCTACAAACTCACACGCGTTTGAAAATCGGGTTGGCTATGTGAAGTCCTTGGGGGTGTAACGCTTTTGTAGCAGTGAAAATACAGTTTTCTAAGCTGAAGATTATTTGATGACATTTCGAATATTATCTTTTCTTTTGGTTTTCGTCCAGTTTCACATGGATGATGTGATGACTGTGCATTAGCGAGCGGTGATAATCGGAAAACCGCGTGGGGTGTGGGTGCAATACTTTGGTCGCGCGGTGTATAAAAGAACAGATATACGTAATATTTAGGCCAAAATGAGAAGGGTCAACCTGGTACGTTTTAGCAGTGATTATTGAATGTGACTGCATATCCTCACAAGCAAATTACGGATATAACAGTGTCGAACAAGCTCGCTTTTCATGTTACTTTTTCGTGCCATAAATTACAATACGTATCTCTAATGGAGAACGAAATTGTATTTGAAAGGAACAACGAATTACTTGAATTGACCTCACCAAGGGAACGGAAGTTGTATTCAGTATGACCACATGTTTGTTTGTTCACTAGTCGCATCCTAGCACTTCCGTGGTCAACGAACGCACCTACGAACTTTATACAGGGGGCATAAAGCCTCAGCCACGTTCGCAGTGTGTGTCACCTAGGTGTGAACCACCGCATGGGTGAGTGACTTAATCGCTCCAGGGTTATGTTCACGAAACCGTTCGGACAACCGCCACACCATGCTTGTGTACGTTTTTAAAAATATTTACTTCCTTTTATTGAAAACACAATGATACAATTTTCAGGAAGAGTGAAGCGGCCAATCAAAGGAACGCGATACAACACAAAAATGGTGGGATTCGAACACTCGTCCTCAGGTGATAATTTGTTGACGTTAACACCGGACCACCACCGCCCCAGAAACACGTAAATGAGTATACACCGAATGAGACCGCAGAGTTGAGAGATTTATCCGCAAAGCGCAAACACAGTTGGCTGGCACATGAACAACTCGTGAAGCTTTGATGAGTAAAACTTCTCATGAATTGCTTCGAATATATTAGATTTCGAACATCCTAGTAATTTTTATACTCAAGTATTTGTATTAAAAGTCAGCAACTGTTGTGCTCGCACTATCAGTAAGTGAATTCGGAATTCAAGTAAAGTTGTCTGTCTGTTTTTTTTACTATCAAACTTCGTTTGAAAACTGCTGTTTGGATCTGAATTCATGTCAGAGAGTAATCAACAAAACGATCGCTTGGTGAGCAGTGACAAGCGGTCAATCAAAGGGAGTGCGTAGCTGTGGAATAGAATAATAAAACGAAATCGCCTTCGCTCTGGTAACGATCAAGTCCATTTGGTCGCCACTACTACATTATACACAGTAAAAATAGCTTCGGATAAAAGTTCAGCCACTGTGCACATTCTTCAGCTGGGAACAGCTCAAAAGCGTAGTGTTCAGTGACCGTGTTTCAACCTGATTTTTGTACAATAAACGACGCATCGGTCGGTAAAAAGTCAGTTTAGAAATGTCATTCTGGACGTGATAAAACTATTTTAATAAATTAGAAGCATTTTGAGAAGATAAAAAAGACCCTCAAAACGAGTAAAAACGAATCAATCTTAAATTGTCTTTCGTTAACAAGAATAATATCGGGGACGACAACGTGTGAAGACTATTTGTCGCACGCAAAACATGTCTGCGCTTTCGTGGTCGGTTATGTCATACCTTCCTGTCATATATTGTTTGACTTCAGAAAGAAAACAACTGAAACACACGCAAGGATATTGTGTATAAATAATACTCGTGGACCATAAAGGATGCGAAGAGACGAAATATCGAGATTACCAAACGCTGTGCAGTTAAAACCAGTGGAAAATACCGATCGGTTCAATGTTCTTTGCGATTACGGAAATGGAATCATTTATAAGTAACAGAAGAACCCGATTAGTAATCCGCAATTCCAGAAACAGTTACTCGTTTTCTGTTTCTGCTAGTGAAGTAAACTTTTAGAAATGATAAACGTGCCTAAAATTCACTAGTTTGACTATGGCATAAAATATGAAGCTGTATCATCATTGTAGACTTGTTACGCACTTAGCGTTTGTTGATCACTGTCGAAGTTTTCTTGCGAAATATGTGGATTTGTATTAGAATAGATGTAATCTCTGGTTACATTAGGCAAGTCTTCAAATCTAGCCACTATGTACTTTTCATTCGATCGACTGGAATCGAAAAGGTGTCTATCCCACTGATTACTGACTTGTGCGGTTTCTGTGTATCAGCAATCGCATTACTGACTGCTCCAGTTCATGTTGATAGACCAATGGTTTTCCGAGAGTTGTAGACCTAATACTGGTTTACGTAAAATGTTAGCGTAGCTCCTTGCATCCTCCTCCCCCGCCGCTGAAAAGTAAATCATCCTAATATTAGAGTGACGCACGTTCCAACCCGATTGTATAGAGAACTGTTTTCCAGTCCAATACCGCCGTTTATACTCTTCACGTCTGTTCCATCTTCCGAAATGGTCGGTTTACCTACATTGATGTACAGACATTTATGTCCTGTAGATTACCCCGTACATGTTACATTTTTTACGTGCATTTTCCAATCCAACGGAACAAAGCTTGACAAGGAGGGCAGAACATCAACTGGGCAAATTCCGACCTTTAAATCATCCTCTGTAATGCGAATTTTTTTTAGTTTCATCTCACGTTGGCTGTGTTTGTTTCATTGTTTCCCCGGGATAACAATGTCCAGATATCTATCAGTGCATTGTGGATGTTATTTTACATCCAAATTAATAAGGTATGGCCATTCTGTTAAAAAACATCCACGCATTATCTTCAACTTATAGCGTAAACCCTCAAAGGGTGGACGGTCAAGGAAGATATGCGCGTTAGGAAGAATAAACGATCAAGTAAATTTGCAATGAAAAAACCCACAGGGAGGGGAACCGCTTCCGCGATAGTGAATCAATCTATCATTTTACTTCTGTTCAACACCAATTGTCCATACGTCTCACCATGAAAGTAAAACATGAGCAGATTTTGCTTGACACGGAGCTTTATGAACAGATGAATAATGTCGAACATACGGAGACCTAATTGAGTGACCCACTTCGTGATAATATTTCTAATTGTTCATAGGGATAGTGAACTAGCTAGTGTAACAATTACAAATGAATCGCCTTTCACAGATATTACCTCACTGGGACAGTATGTTAAAAGGAAATATTAGTCTATGCTATCCACAAACTCTCTGCTTATAATGCCCTACCACGTTCCAGTAATATCTCAAACGTAGACACCAGTTTAATTGATACGCTCAAGTGTGATGTTTGGATGGAACGGAACAGTAGTTCATTTCCGCCCGGAACTTTGAGGTACGAAACCATCCGCGGGGTTTGTGCACCCAAAATTGAATTGATTACATTTGATTGACACAAATGGACTCACGAGAACAACATTGAGAATGGCATATGTTGTGGGAGACAATTGTGTCTGGTTCAACACACATTTGTTCTCTATTTTTGCGCGAAAAAGACAAACAAATTTATCCTGTTGTTCGCTATCCGTGAAACATCTGGCAAAAACATTTCGGCATCCAGTGGCATCAATTCCCCTCATTGCTTCAACTATATTCTTTCTCAGCAGCTGATTGATTGATGTTTTCACCTAAACGTTCGGCTTAATCTCACTAAACGAATAGTGGCAGTAGTAGTAGTAGTAGTAGTAGTAGTAGTAGCAGTAGTAGGGTGGTGGTGGTGTTCGGGTGGTTAAGGCCACCAAATTATCGCTCCGGGGGACGTGTGTTCAAATCCCAACATCATCACCACAGCGGTCACCCAACTTTCCTTACTGTGTTTTATGTCACCTCTATCTATCGTTATGTATTCAATAGCAGGAGGTAAAATGGAATAAAGGAAGAAGGAAATATCCTACTCCTGCATGATCAACATTCACACAGGTTGTTGTCCACCAATGTTATGTATGTTTTATCTGAGCAACTAAACAGATGTAATTCATCAACAACGATGTTTGTTCTCTTGAAGCTCTATTTGTAAGAGTTTATAGCGCAAGCAACACTCCCTAACACAGGTAAATTTGCAAAAACGTTCAGACCGAAACTAAAAAACCGTTGGTCAGAATATAGTTCATTGTAGTATAGCAGAACAGAGTAAGAGTTTCTGAAGACCATCAAATTGTTTGGGTGAGTTTAAAGCGATCTCAAGTCATAATTTTTAAAAATCTTTGCTTGTGTAGTTGAGAAAGGGTTACTTGTGGTCACCGATCCGGTTTTGACCGCATCAAACTAAGTAGAAAATTTGCGTTACGATGGTTTAACTGATCCTCGTCTGTTAGATCATTGATGCGTCCCCAGGTATGGGATGGATTTTAACCTGTAGCTTAGAAAAATTTACATATTTACACATATCGCCTTTCTTTAAATTTCACAGATCTGTACACAATGGATTCCATCACAAACCTATAGCTATTCTGGACCTACTGGCTGTGCCAACAGAAGAAGTCTACAATGTTCTTGACGAAACGAGATATTTACTCTGGGGCAGGAAAGCATGTGAAGTAGTACTGTCAATGTTTGATGACCTGAATGGATGGTGCTGTATTTGAGCATGCAACTTAAATGAATAAATAACACACAAGGACTCGTTGGTTAGGTTTCGATTAGACCTGTAATTCCGTTATTGGTCGTATAACGCTTCACTCCGGTCACTGGCCAACCTTTTAAGTCAAATCAAGAATGCACTTGATAGTCCATCGACCACTCCTCTAAAGCTTTTGTCCGTTGAACAGAGCATTCAGAACAGATGAGTTATTTTAAATGGGTTCAATTATCGATTAAGAGAGAACTAACATTTCTCGGTTTCTATCGGTATTACTGATTGTTCTTACGTATCTGCACGGTAGTATCAATCGCATTTTAAAGCTTTGGAACCCGTCAGGCGGACTGCTTCTAGTAACTTGGTTGAATTAGAATATATCACTTCATGATCAACCTGTGTTACATTTATTCCAAACGGAATAGTCATCGTCCTATCATGACAAATACGATAACTAAGAAATATATAGATTTTTCAACTGTGAATTATTCCTGTTTACTTTTCAGATAGCGAAAATGAATGCCGAAGAAATGGAGAAAAAGGTGAGCGTTTACGACCTTTTGCTGTCGAAATTTAAAATTTACGAGATTCGCAGACAAATTTCTCTGTAAAAATGTCCCAAACAACTGTCATGTGAACAGTTGCAAATTTTCACTTTCGGAATCTTACGAATTTTTAACTTGTCACGTGACTGCCTATCAGTTTGAAAATAGATGTTCAATTCTGACAAGACCAAACTGTAATACAGACAATCCTCTTCTACAGCAAGCAGGCAGTGGCTCGAACTACTGATACACTGTAGAAAAGAAAAACTTCAGCCCAGGTTGGGAGAAAGGGAACTTGCGTTCCTGATGTAGCGACTTAGTACTCCATGTGCATATCTGTTCTGAACTAAACTGAAAGAAGAATTTATGTCGACTGAGTTTTGTGTCTGGATGTCTGGGATTTTGCGCCCCAACTTCACGTACACCTGGTACTATAAGTTGAGGACCATCATATGACCAGTAACAATCGTTTAGCTCTCGAATATGCATTCTATCTCACTAAAGATGCATCCACTGGAAATACCGCAGACAAAGACTAATGATACAGCCAGAATCTAAATGGTTTGAAATAATAATATTAATAATTTTTGACCAAAAATAATCTATACAATGTAGGAATGTAAAGCATATCAGATTATAGTACACGTTTTCAAAAAGAATGTCTAGTAGACAACCTTAGCCCACATGGAATGACTGATTACTGCTAATCTGTGTGGATTAAAAAGGTTGTTGGATGATTTTCACAAAAAATATGAACGCAGATCCAAGAATGTTTCCTGTCGAAAAACTACACAATCAACCGGTTGACTTAGCGAAATTTTAACTACTCAGCGATGTATTGACCGATATGATTTGGTTGAGTTGTTGTCCTTCAGATAATGAAAAAACAATCTAATGATAATCTGAGACGGAACATTGTCCTGTGAGATTGATCGGAGAGGGAGATCGATTTAGGTTTTCAGTTTACTGATCTGTGAACCGTACACTGTCGCAGGACGGTTTTCGTTGATGTCATTCGGATATCCAATTTGGAGGCCAACGAAGAAGGAGTTGTTGTAAGTTGGCTCTGTATGGGAATGTTTGGATTGGTCACGATAAGGACGAACCCCTTCTGGAACGCCTTTCTCAAGCTGAGCAAAAAGTGAACATCAAAACGACTGTGATGCGGGGATGATTGTTATCTCCGGTCAGGAAAGAAGAAAACTTCACGTGATCTGAAAAACACGTGTCACTCATGGTCCCCTTCCTCATTCGCCACTGGCAACGATGAAACTCCGTGTTCTCAATCACATCTGTACGGAACAAGATTGATCGGATTAGGTTTATCTGCATCTCTTTTAAAAGTAATCAGGATTTGCTAAAATCCGGAGATCATTTGAATCCCCATTGTATTTAGAGGAAGGTTCGCCAGCCTCATCAATCATGACACTGAGTATTCTAAACAATTTAGAGAAACGGAGTGGATTTACGACGGAAGTGAGAGTGGTTGACTGGAAAGGCTGCCACAAAGATTTTCCAAGTATTCAAGATGGTTCAAAATCGGAAGTACAGATATCTATGTGTTTGGCAAATAGTCATTGCCAGTTTTTTCAAACAGTGTGTTATCCCCTTGCTCTTACAGTGCTCCCCTGTAGCTCACTTCTGGTCGACGCAAAGAGGAATTCATGACTTACTTGGATATTGTCTGCATCAAGTGTTCAAACGTTTGTCAAGCATTGGGTCTACCAATAAGGATTTGTTCCAGATACGACTCACGAAGCCACATGTGCATGAGATTTACTGCATACCGTACTCATCCATATCCTATAGCAACTTTACGTGTTTTCGGATTTGATCACCTAGTTTCAAGCCTTGCCTTGTATATACTGAGACTTCGAAAATTCCAAGTATACAGTCAGTGTTATTGAACGTCAAGTTTACCGATGTTTTATTTCACCTGCTTTCATTCACTGTGTTCCACGTAAATGACAACCGAAATTCGAAATAATCAGTAGTATCGGTAGTATTAGAACCGGTGCACGGGAGACGTTCATGCTTTTGTACAACTCATGATATGCCAGCTGATAGCACGAAGCTTTTCATCTTTGAATCCTTCCAAAACCGGAATACAAAGTCAACAACTTGTACTATCATCTTCAAGTAAGGAAGCTACGCTACTACACTGCTACTACTACTACTACTACTGCCGCATAGCCTTAAACAGCAGAAACGGTGATGCGTGTTGACCACAAACGCAAAACCTTTCTAAGGAAGACCAAATAGTACAATGAGAGGAACACAGATCAGTGTTATTTGGGAGATAGTAAACTGCAAACATTTATAAAAGTAGTGGTATGTAGAAAATAGGAGAAACGTATTAATGGGAAGTAACAAAAAAACAACTGGTATTCAGGTTATGCGACCCACACTCAATTCTGCCTTCTGATGGCAACTAACAGAAAGAGGAATCTCGCTCTTCATCTGTTAGAAACATTGAATAAACTCAGTCTAAGCAACACTGTGAACTCTTCATGTACGAACCGATTTGCTGATTGAAGTCACGTTTACGTGCCAATGTGAATAAGAGATCCGATTAACGCAACACATTACGATATCATACTATTTTTTTCTTCGGATCGTCGCTACAGCAATAAACTGAGGGATGAGGAAAAAGGCTGTTACAGAAAAAGAACTTCAAAGAATGCGTTCTAAAGCTTACATATGACGTAAAACAGTTGTCTCACTCTTATTGGGAATCGTCAGCACCGCATTCTGTGTTACTGTTCCGGTCGTGAATGAAACGCAAAGCTCAGGGGAGTCTGTGCTCATTCTGATGAGTCCTGACAATGACGAAAAGGATATTCATTGCCATTTGTTGGTCTTGTCACAAATTCATAACTCAATGCTTCCGAAATCTAGAGAATGGATAAATGTTCATTCAGTGTGACCCAGAGATGATGGACTGTACACAGAAACTTCACATACTGGTAACCGTATGCAACAACGCTTTTCGTTGTCAACCGAAAATTGTTGTTTTGGTCTTCCCCCGCTGTGGCTAATGCAAAAATTTCTATACGGATCGAATAGTATGAGCATGATACACAATTTATTCAAGGACTCCCCTTTCGAATTCGCACCTAATATAGTGAACACACTTTTCATTTTCATCTTTTTTGTATTTATCATTTTCCAATCAAACTTATCAGTGAGTCTGTTTTCGCATTCGCTTCCACTGTTGTCACCACCATATTCTTTTACCTTCCCAGGAAGAAGAAGAGCGTCGCAAAAAATTGCAGAAAGAGCGAGAGGAGGTACGTCCCATCCCCAATACACGGATCTATATTAAACGTGACTGTATGGCATTGTTGACGTATTTCGCAATGATGAACGATTCTGTACCCGACGCGTTCATTCATCAGCACCGAGACAGCAATGAACGGGTTGGTTGTTAGTTCGGTTTTATCACACTGATATAAATATAGCCCGTGGAATGGGGGCTTACCGAGAGAAGGGAACATACGGAAAAAATCAAAGGTCGTCTGCTTTGAACTTATGAGACCGCAGTGATTTAAAAAGGAAAATGCGACAAGATCTATTATTGAACATTAGTAGGGCAGTTGATTTAGGAAAAGCATTGCTAAGGTAAGACGGTTGTCGGAGAGGGAGGTTAGAGTTGGGCATTTCACCTTGGAATAAGAGGGTTTTTATTACTGCTGTCCTTCAGTCACTTTGGAATGCAAAACATAGTGCGGCCTTTGAGCAATGCGAGCGGAATAGCACAAAATGGTGGAAAAAGTGATTTGCAAAGGACCATGTTGTGTTTCTTTTTTTCAAATGGTATTTTGCACGCAACGCCTACACACACACACACATTAGCAGAAAGATCTGAGGGCTTGGCAGGCAACCTATTAATCATTTTTGTCACCATGAACAACAATAACAACAATCTGGTTATACGGATTTACCAAGTGGAATATGACAATGTGAAAGTGAGAGATAGCTTCGATTTGTTTTATTTCAAAATGACACGAACAGAATAAAATGAAACAGGATTTTGCAAGGCAACAAATTATCCTCGACAGCTGTTACTCCATTTTTCATTCTCGTTGCCAAAGCGTCCCTGAAACAACTCAATTTTCACAAAAATCGTGTTTGTAAAGTTCTAAACGTTAATCCTGAAGGATTAATCAACCATTCGAGTTTTCTTTTAAGTGAGGAATACCAGAGGTGACAGTTGCCCACGGTGATTGGCTTACTCAGCAATAAGTCTCATGGTTAATTGCTTTACTTAGATCTTATATCATTTTTTATTCCTTCTACAGGTTCTATCAGTTAAAGTAATAATGAAGGTAATAGTAATTTGCTGGTTATCATGAAGGTAACACATATACCTCTTCCATGTCAGGTGATCTCAGTTCCCACGCAGACCGGTAAATTTGCAACAATTGTCAACTATAGTTGGAAAATACTAGGTTTACAGTTCACAAAACGACGAAGACGCATATAGGGAGCCCAAAGAAAACTGCAGGAGACTGGGGATAGGACGTAGTAAAACACTAACTGACAAACTGAGCGTAGATTGAGACGAAACTTAGGTACTGCGATTCATTTTTTGATAGCACGTTCAATTTCATCCAGCTAATTACATACCTTCGGTAGCTGTCTTTGTTCAGCTTACGTGGGTTCAAGACATGTACATTTGTGCATGAGCCCCTGTGGATTCACGGGTCAATATACTACCTTTTTCCCCATGAAAAAGCCTTTGATGCATAGGAATGTTTTGTAACTTTGTGAGTCACAACCGATGATCAAAGCATTTATCCCAACGCTTGCGTTCATCTAACCCAACTCCTCTCTCATCTCAAGCAATGCTTTATTTTTCCTACTTGCTTTTCGTCCCGTATGTAGGTGAAAAAAGCCCGAGAATCCAAAGAGGCGGTAAGTCTCTTGTAACGCTTGTTTACATAGTTTGAGCAAACCAACTGAAAAATGACGTCAACTTTTAAATATCTGGTGCTTTGTGCAATGACTCCTGTTTTTATGTAACACCGGTGTTTTCCTCTTACCTGTATCTTGTTGGACCCGTATTCTCCAACATAAAAACGCTTTGTGATGTGGGAAACAGTTTGTTGTTCATGAACACTGGTAAAAAAATGAGTAAGAGAGGATTACTTTGTGAGCTAATCTGTCAACTTGTCATTGTTTGTCAAAATCAAACTTTGCGGATGATTTCAGTTCTGTTGAGTCCCCAAACAAATCAGTATCTAATCATACGGGATCATTTGAAAAATGCAGCTAAAGATCACTTTTTCAGCAAATACCACATCCAAAATCGTGTAAATATGTTAGAAATTTCCAGCCCTCAGGGAAATGATGCAAACATGTCCGGGCTGAAAACGTCTCGAAGTCAGCTTGTAGATCATTAAATAAACACGATCAACAGATTATTTGAATCAGTGACATGTAGTTGTCAGTTCCTAATCAGACATTGACCAGTAGAACTTGTGATGCGGCTATTTCGATGAGCGTTCCATCCGAGTTGCACTGAAAGTAATAAATCACTCGCGAACATTTTCGAACAGAACGAACTCTCTCGCCCAAAATAGATAAAGTGTGACCGAACGCTTCCGTTAGCACCAATATTGCATCCTTTTGAAGATACGATCGAATTTTCCGTCCCGCGTAGCTTATTTATTATCCTTTGATGTGCACTGGCGTTTCCTTTCGCCGAGCTCATTGGTGTTGGTTTGAATTTGGGTAGATGGCTGTCAAAAACCAATAATTGAAAAATGGCACTAAACCGATTCCACGTTCGAAAGAGAGGACATATTTTGTTCCTAAACAGGTGTGATGGGGTGAGAAACGTGGATTTGGTCGATCGTAAACACTCGCAACCGGAACGTGTATTGGCCGGCTTTACGGGCCAATCCCAATACCTTGTGTTATGTCCTATATTGATTCAAACTGAGATCGGTCCTTTATCCAAGCAGTCCACTAAATTGTCGCCTCGGACGGGGTTTTCAATTTTGCTCCACAATACAACCTCACCCTCACTTCCAATGACCACTTCTGCTTCAGCTCGTTTCTCCATCTTCAGAATAGTAAAGATTTTCAATAGGCTATGTATTCTGAATATTTGGCAGCAACTAAATGTAAGAAATCAATAAATAACGCCTAGGACATGACAAGGAATCTAACCTTGGAAAACGAAAACCGGTTTCAAATGTGTTCAGAGAGTGATAACCGACGACAGCCTGCTTGACAATTGTACGAAACACAACACCATGATGGAAGCCATGCACCGGAGCTGATCAATACCTTTATTCGGCATAAGATTCATCAGTGGCATTTCTGCACTTCACCATGACTTATTGTTATCGAAGTAAATTTGGACGCGAAAATAACGAGATATACGATTTGGACTTCGATGCCAAAGACCCATGCATAGCCTTCCTTGTTTGGCTTCCCATCTACCGGCAATTGAAATTTCGCTGTGCTTTTTTAAAGTGTAACAGAAGCAAATTTTAAGATACCGTATTTTAGCGCATTGGGAACAAACAACTGTCCCCATTCACTCTATTCCAAATGAACGAGTATTTTTTGATCCAGCTTGAGCATCATCAAATCATAAAACTCATACATGATGTGCTATACGTCAAAAGCTTTACGTTTAGCGATCAATTTTCAAAGTTTTAATAGAAGTTCTAAACTTCTCTCAAAAACAGATTTTTAATGAGGAATTTGTAGCCACATTTTTCTGGAATCTATCTATGATCAAAAACAAATATTTATCCGAAATTCGTGTGACATCAAACGCAAAATAACTGTATTTAATAGACCCAGATTGATCAGAAAAAACATAAATAAACTAATAATAAATGAAGACATTTCCCTCATTTATTATGCTCAGTATATAATTCTTTAAATTTTGATTTATTGCATCGGAACTTCTATAAAACAGACCTCACCGAATTAATCGGTGATACAGTTAATGAAAAATAAAGTAACCAACCAATATAAATCATATGCTGCTATTGATGTACTAGTGTCTTATTAGGTTATTTATATATAAAGAGATATACATCCTAATCACTGCACCACGTAAGAACCAATTCATTGACATTCTGAGCTCCAAGTATCACAGTTAGCCTGCTTTTGCGTAAGCAATAACTATTTTGAATAACCAATTCAAATTAGAAAATTATTAAACGTAAATATTTCTCTAGGTCTGGTACTGTCTTCTCAACAGCGAACAATATCCATATTGTCCTGAAGTATACCGGGTAAACTATTCGTTACCACATACGATACTCAATTGCAGTTCAGGATGCTTTCTATTGATTTCCATTGACTGGTCGCCCCTCAATGTCACCTTCACGTAAAATGTTCAGCTCACCCAGTCATTCACACACTTGAAACTCGTGGGGCTTGCATTTTGCTCTCAGTCCAGATGCACTGTGACAGTGCATCTGAACCGGACTGTCCGAGAAAATCCTACGGCAAAACTCAAGTATATGGTATTTTTTGGATGTATTCTTGACCGGATTGTCTAAGGCCTGTACTTGAAGATGATTACTGATTACTATCCGGTCAAAAGAAATCTCTAGTTGAAACCAGTCTTTTCCGAATTGCTTAGATAACAATAAGATCCGGAATGGGTAAAGGGAAAATTTACCAAATATNTGACTAATGCACATGAGGTCACTGGCAATCAAAATCGTGAACAACGGTGGGCGATACGTTCATCGCAAGCTTATCCATTCATTATCTTAACTAGACAAACGACTTATGTCAAGTTGAATGGAATGCAAAACAACCCGTGAACTGACCATACGAGTAGCACTCTACACGTGTTTGATTCCTGAAGGGTATCATTAGCCAACGGGGGAAAGCTTTGAGCTGAACATAAAAGGAATACTTATCAGTTTGTGATCACCGTTTTCTGTTCTGTTTTCAAAGAAATTGTTCGACGACCGAAAAAAGTGCTGAAAAACTGTTTGGTGCATGTCACGGCTCATGTTCAGCTCATATTGTTCGCGTTCCTGACGCGGGTTGAACTGCCCACGGTTTCAGAATCAACGCCTACTTTTTCATGGCTTGAGATGGTATTGAAATCAAGGAAATAACCAGTTCCATGTCTTTTGCCTAAGCACTCACCGGACTTCATTGTCTCATTGGTTAGCTTTACAGAACCATGAGCTCACGTTCAGATGTTGTGGTCGAAAACCAAATTTGGTTAAAAGCAGTCCACGCGAGATTAACCACAACGAGAACCGTTTTCCCGCAGACCACTTTTCATTTCAGTTCGTTTATCGTTTGACATCCTAATAGGTACATTCTCTTTGGGGTTATGGTGGAGAGGCAGCACTGTCTGGTAGGTCACTGAAAGCTAAACCCCAAAGCAGGAAAGCAAGGAAAAACATCTACTGTGATGCTAGCATACTGGGACAGAGAACCCAATGACCACGGTTATTAATACCGGGTGTATTCAAACAGAAGTGGGCAGAAGTCGTAACGATTGAATGTTACAGCGTTATTGTTGCGTCATACCGACCATGAAAATAGAGAATCAGGCCTTACTGAAATAAAAAGTATTACGGGCATCTAAAATCTGGTGTGCATCGATTCTCTGAATCCGTATCTCTCATGACCGCGAGAAAGGATGTAATTAGGCTGATCAGACCATTGGTTGTAAATTATCCCACAACGTCGAACGGAGTGTATAACAGACCCTGTGTACGTTGCTCTCACTCAATTCAGTCAACCGGCAACGTTCACCGTACGCTGTAGGTTAACAAACAGTAAGATACTCGAACGATATAAACATGAAGGCAAACCGGAGTACTGTTGACAAAACAGAACTGCTCATTAAATAATTCGTATTTTTTTAAATATCATTGGCCAACTACTTTTTTATTACTCTCTTTCTCTTTGACTCATTACTTCAATGTAGATCAAATCCTATTGGAACTTTTGTTCTCAATACGACATTCATCACAGATCACCACTGATACTTTTCTTTTCACAGAACAAAGGCGCAAGAGAGATTGCACAAAGTCCAAGCCCACGTAGAATGACCTATCACAAACGTGGCTTTGGTGGTCTAAGCCGCGAACGCAGAAAGAAACTCAAGGTAAGCTTTGCAAACTCATGCAAACTTTACTTCTGGTCTACGTATTTTAACCGATTTTATGAATGCTGTATGTGGACACTGATTCATGCTTCAACTGGAATAACTGTAAAAGGTATAGACTTCGAATAAACACTAAGCGCAACGATCCGTATCATCCCACGTTTGAACGCAGCCCTCAGAAGGGGCGCAAGCGGGGTAAAGTCGTAAACCGCTTTTGATAGCAGTATTAGAAATCGCATTCCTACGGAAACCCTGATTTCAAAAGAACTAACCTAAATCATTTTGTCACCGTGCTCAATAACGAAACGCCAGCATTTCTGTTCTAAAGCTCAAATAACAGGAAATTACTAAATGCAGCACTGATGACCGGTTTTATAGTCTACAATGTTTTACTAGTTTTTTACCATGACAGTCCTAACTCCATTCACACAAGAGACTAAAACCATGGAATTCCGAGAGCAAAAGCGAATTTTGTTGCATTTTAAGAAACTCCAAATAGGAAAACTGGATGTGTTCCCACCAGACGCAAACCACAGAAAAAATACTGCCTAGGAAATAGCGGAACTCTTTGCCCGTTTCAGCTTTGTTGCCTTGGCTGGAACCGCAGTATTTGAATTCGGCACACTATAGAGAGAGGACAGTGTGTGCCCCTTTGGCACAACTAAGTGACAGGAACCATAAACCGTCGGACAGTTCGTAAAAACTGTACTTTGGGACAGTCAATGCGTTGCCAGTAGTTCGAATAGAGTGGGGAAAACAGGCAAATCCACTTGCCAAATACTTTGGCATTCACGCACTTTTATATCCTGTTTATCCAGGGTAATAATCAACTTTAAGGGTCAGTTGGAAGTTCTATCGTTGAGGTATTGATGTCATTAAATCAATCGATTTATCGAAACGACAGGAATGCGATCGATTGTAGTAAATCATTTGTTTTGGTTTTATCTAGTGTGTTTTCCTTTCTATTAGCAATTTTTTTATCTTTTCATTTATTAAAATATTCTCCTCGAAGAGCTTATATCATTAGGACTGTTTCTGACTAATCTAAATAATCCTCCCTTAGAATAAACTTCCACATTCTCACTTCAAGTTTATGCTCATTTATTTTAATCCATTATTACGGACTCTTCAAAGTTACACATGCATATGTTATGGCAACAATAAACTCTTTTGTTTACTCTTTTTGGGTTGTTCATTTTAGTTGAGTCTATCCGAGTAAACTTGATCTTTAATCGTTCCCCTATTTTCGCTCAATGATACCCTAAAACTGCCCATCACCCCAAATTCCATTTTAGTTTTGCTTCTTTTTACTGAGGATACGGTGGCACCGTTTCTAAGGAAGAAGCGGCCAATCAAAGAGCTGTCGTGTGACACAATTGGGGAAAGTTAGGTGGGGGCGTTGGGATTCCAAGGCACGTCCTCCGGGGATGATAATTTACAAACCCTCACCACCAGGTCACCATTGGCATCAAGCCTGTAGGCGTAGTTATTTCAAGCTTTGAGTTCGTATTATATGAATAGCTCAATCTTCTGAATTTAAAATGTATGGTTTGTATGTGCTTCATACTTCTCAAGTGATTCGCATTACAAATCAGATTTGAGAGTTACTTCAAACACAAAGTGGAAAGCAAGAGAAACTTCAGCTGTGAACGGCTCTAAAAAATAGAGCTTTGCGTTGAAATGTGCTGGGTTGGATTCCCAAAAAGGTCTTATGTGATCAGTTACTCGGAAATCATTTGACTGGAATGAGTTCATTCTACCAATAAAGTTCCTAGTTTGACCCCTAGTTTGGGCAATTGATAGCACTTCTGATCAAATCCCACAAGTTATAAACAGCTTAGATTTGAATCATACTATATTCCGATCAATCTCTCGTAATTTTCAGTTATCGAACTTCGAATAATTTAGGAAAATATGCAGTTTTTGATAAAAACTGCGTCGATCTTCGAAAATCAAATAGCATTTTATCTACTCGTTAGCATTTTTCCGGGTTACAATTATAAATAAAAATTTTCATTATTTTCCATGGTTTTCTATTTGATCAAATCTTTTCTGGAATTCCACCCCTCAATTATCCGTTGTCAGTTAGGCACAACTAAAAACAGCTGTCAAGTTTAATCGAAACACTTTGCTTCTATTAATCCGGGCTTCCACTAAAACATCAACCGGAAGTACTTTTCACTGTATTGCTCAGCCACATGACACGTTGCACCAATTTTAATCCATGGCTAGCCAATTAGAAATGCCTTCAAATGGTTCGTTGACCATGTCACTCAAGAACATTCGTTGTGTCACGACCCCGCGAAACCAATCGAACTCTCTCTCTCTATTGATAGGAAATCATCATGCGTAAAGCCAAGGAGGAATTGCGCGCAGAAACGTTGAAAGAGATGCAAAAACGAGAGGATCACCTCAAATCCGTCCTGCCACCATTCAACATTGATAGTCTGAATGAAAGTGAGCCTTCCGGTTGTATGTCTCCCATGTGATTGTTGCGGAAGTACATTTTACTAGTGAATAACATTGATGAAGATCATACACTCAGAACAGTATACAACTCCAGTCTATCTTTCGATCGTAAAAATATTTACTAATTTATATTTATAGTGAAAAATAGTATGATTAACTTCTACGGTTAGTTGCACTGATGGTTTTGTATGAGAAACAAAAACGAACATTTTAGAGGGGTTTTGAAGTTTCATCATCACATTTTCACATTTATCGACAGAAATAATTTATTTAACACGGGAGAACAGAATCATGTACCACGGTTTAGGAGCGATTGTAAAGCCATTTCAACGACTACCGTTCCCTAACTGCCGGATTTACTCCTAATATATCACTATGGTAAGATACGATGCCAAGCAATGAGTAGAAAAGATATTTAACTGGATCAGAAACCGAGAAAGCAGTATGATCCACATTTACACAAACGAGCAGAAATTTTTTATCAGTGTTTCCTCAACATTCGCATCCGGCTCCAACTGTCTCATCATCCCATCGCACATTTGCATGTTCACATTGTTATTCAATCCAAAAGAACAATTGCAAGAGCTCCTATTGTCATGGCACAAACAAGCCAAAGAACTGGAAGAACAGAGGATCGATATGGAGGAACGAATTAGAAGACAGGATGAAGAGGTGAGTCTGTTGTGAGCTTATGAAACAGTTATTCAAATGCTGACAGCGTGTTGTTAGATATTTTACCCGCTCATTGATGTATATTGCAATCATTTTAGTTTTGTATTTCATCGGAACACAACATATTGCTGAATTTCAAGTAGAGAAAATAGGTGTTTATCTGCCTTGTTCCTTAAACAATTTCCGACGGTGAATGGAGGCAGAGAAAATGGATGAGTTTGTGTGCTTGGCTTCAATGCCAGTGAGGAATTGCCGTATTCCACTAATCTAGCCACATTCATCCAGCCGTTCATGCTGTAAGAATACAGTCTAGCGTGGACTGCTCCCGCCCGCAAACGAGTAACAATTATAGCTGTTTATATACCTATGTGTACCACCAAATTCAATAAATGCATTAAACTGTTGTTCACGTTTTATTCTCAATTATTTACGATAAGAGGTGTGAGATAAATTATATCTATTTGAGCCCGAAGTTTGAAAGATGGTCAGTTGTAATCAGTATTGAGCTTTATTTGATGAGCACCGCGACCCATGATTTTCACTAATTAATCTCATTTTTTGAGATTCTCGAATGTGTGTAAAACAAATGGTATGATTGTCTCCACTTCATGTGTTCATGCAGTCAGTATTCGGTGAAGAACACATGCAATTACACAACGGCAAGTAGTTTTGTTAATCCTTTCTGAACATATGAATCAGGCAGTGGAATCATTCAGATTACCGGTGTTCATACCATATCGGTCCTTATTCAGTTTGACCATAGGTCTCGTATTCATGGTTGAACACCGTCACGTCAATTCTTTTGATCAAGAAAGAATTAAGCATCGTTTATGTATACAGCTCCTTCGGCGGACGATCACAACCTTTATTCACGTCGTTTGATTTCACCATTTGAACTACTTGGCCTCGACCCAAAAGCCTTTTACTGAGACCGAAATTCTTTAGCAACGATCCCTTAGCCCGAGGCACAAACTTCAGCCATGCCTCTGTGAGTGCTTCAGGCAAACAAATGAGGTGTGTTGATCTGACGTTGAGCACTTGATTGTTGTATCAAATGTTGCAACAAACTGATGGCATCAGTGGAAGTATATCTTTGTGAACGATTTCCATTGTCGGATTGGCGATATACCCAATTCTCTCTAAAGAGCGTTTATGCCGCTTCCTTCCGCACTACGGCTACATTCTATTTATTGTCCAGGGGCAACATTCACCATAACAGACACGATCGCTTTCACTTAAATAGCAAAGAAGTGTGTTTATCCCATAAATACCCATGAGGCATAACCATAACCATGGGTTATGAGTGGTGCACTATCGGCCAGTCTTTATCCTTGTTCTCCACCCCTTTCACCTACCTCAAACGGATCCCCAAATAGCTAACGAAAACCACTTTCACATTGTCGCTGAAAGCCTTCTATCCCAAGCCTCAGGGCAGTGTCTGAATTCTGGTTTTGATCGTCACAGCAGCCACGGCTGCAGTTATCAAGGCAAATGCGTACAAATACTTTTGATGGGCACACCTTCTGAAGAGAACCAAATAGGTTTGAGACCCTGTTCTCCCCTCACGACCATAGAATGAATTAGTGCATGCGTGCTTGCTTGCACTCTCCATGTGTGGTGGCACTTCACCTGGTTGATCTCGACCTGCCAGGCACACTATCGAGTGCAGAACGCCACCTACCATCCGATAGATTGAGTGAATTTCACGCGTCAGTTTTCGCGAACACTATACATGAAATCATTGCTGCTACGGTGGTACATAACGCTACTACAACAATATCAGAGTTCAAATAGCGTTGATCTCCGAACAATGAGTACAGATAAATAAATCTCTGTATTTCTATGAAATTACATGACAGAACTCAGGACCTTTGCATTGTTAGGAATGGTTCAGCTGCAAGAAAAGTACTTATTACTGAAAGCCGAGTCACCAAGAGGAAATAGTTGAAACTGTGTAGTAACAATCAGTTTCTACACCTCGACTTTGCTGTGTGAGATGTGAGCAAGAAGACATGCCAGTCAGCATACCGCCGCTGTGGAACATTCATATTACACTTTGTTTTTCACCACATTGACACTATTCACTGGTTTACAACATGTATGCCCTTCTCAGCGCTTTCTTCTCATAAATATGATTTATGGCGTCCGTCTTAGAAATTACTCGTTCCATCTCTTTACATGTATGAAGTAGTAAACAGTCCTGAACACAATGCTCACCGTTCTTGTTCAGTATGTTGGCAGAGTCTAGCTTTTCATTTTTAGGCACTCCAAAGGAATCGATCACTGGTAGTCAGTGAACCGGATCGTTTTGGCGTTCCTAATGAGTCAACGTTTAAGTGATTGCCTCACCCACACAAATAGTGCTATTAGTCAGTTTTTTTTTCGGAATCCCATTGTAATGGTCGGTGCTGGTAAAAAACCGTTTAACTTATATAAATGTCCGGATGACAGTATACATGCCAAATTCGTCTCTCTCTTTCTCGCGGTTGTGTATTGCTTTCTGGGTAAGGAACCCGGCTGATTTAAGTACATTTTGTCACCTTGGAGTTAGTAGAGCGTTTAATTAATTGCCACCAAAAGAGCGATTTGAGTACCAGTTCTCCACGTACATTCATGAATGTTCACATGATTGATATTCGACTCATAAATAATTTATGATCAAATTTACGAGTAGGTAAATAGACAGATGATAAGAAATGAGACGAAAGGAAATGACTGCTTTATAGTTATGCCATTCGTATATTACAAAAACAGTCCCTTATTGGCTAGCTACTTTTAAAGAAACAAAGATATTATATCGATCTGAATCATTAGTGTATATTTTTACTGGTTGTCTTGACAGAAGCAAATAACCGCTTCCGGACTAAACATTATTTTAGTCATTGCAGAATATCGTGCTTTTGGTTAATTTAACTGTCAAGTGCTTTTCCCGTGAACTTGATAAGAACATTTGTCATTACAGATATCTTTTCATTGTAAACGTTTCCGTCGTCAAATCGAAAACTCACTATTTGCGCAGGTGAATATGGGAAAACGCAATCAATATCCATATGTGCATATATAAGCTGTATATGAGATATTTATATTTCACATTTTCAAGCAAGCCTCATGATTCCTTCAATGTTATTTTCAATGGGACAATTCATTGTTTATTTTTTCTATCTCATAACTTCCAACAAACTGGAAGATGTGTTAACCTGGAATACTGCCCCCAAAGAAATTAGTGTACACTAGTATAATTGAATTTTCAAGAGGACGCTCGTGCGCATACATGTGTCTGTCATCAAAAACGCAGACATCCCCAGTCCCAGACATAGATGGGCGTTTTGGAAAGCGGTTCCGCACATGCAGCATGAATAAACACACACACACAAACATATACTGTAACGCCTTTTTTGGCATCTGATTGTGAACTGATGTCTTGGGTCGCATGAAGTCCGCATGGTGCGTACATTTATTATTCTTTCATTTTGTCCAGAAAATATTAGTAAACTCTGTGTACGGAAAAATAGTCAAGAAGCAACGCAATGTAGACTTCAGCAAGACTGCTACCGGTCGAACGCAAAACGTGACATTTTTCGATCACCACGGGAAGCTCGGCATATCTTGTACAGGCTGCTGTCAGCGGGGACGCACCAACGAATGTCTAGTTCACAAATATTCAATCATGCAAAGCACTTAACTGAAAGGAAATATAAGTAAATATCTACGAACAACGATTGGCTGGATATGCTTACGGATACGCATCAGTACATTTTGCTAGCAGGTGATGATTGGATTTAACTTCACTTTAAAATCGGTTTGGTATGGAGGAGCACCAACTACTTGCATAATTATTTAGACAACGAGGATTGACCTTATTTGTTTTGCGGTAAAGCACAAATCTCAAGATGTTATGGAGTAAAACAATAGGATAGGGTGAACCTTAGTCAGTGCTATGGGAACTGGACTCTCGAAGTAGATGGTGCCATCCAAGAAGGAGAATCAATGCACAGTTCTGAACGGTTGAGTGAACTTTCGTATATGTGATCAAAACAGCTATGTGCGCGTGTACTGGGTTCATCAGTGATTCAATAACATAGTTTAATCAAAGCATACTTCAACCACACCGCGATTCAACCTAATGGCACGATTGCCCATCTGATGTCTTATGGCTTTTTATACTCCTGACTCCATCTCTCTATTTGTGGACTTCCATAAGAGAACAATAGGTTCTTGAAAGTTATTGGCTATTCTTTCCTGTAGATCACCCTGATTATATATATATATATATATATATATATATATATATATGTATACTTCTGGCTCCAACGTTTAGATAAACACTGAACTGCAATCGAAGTCATGGTCTTGCGTTCTACTAACAGCGCATTGCATGCTCGAGTCATGTGGTCTTCTGACAGCTTCTGATTGACCGATGACACAGTAGGTTGTTCGGTAAAGAGGAGAGTAAAGGGATATTATGTGCGTCATTTCTATCACATACAGTAATCCGGTCTTTTCACTGTCAGACGAGGCGCTTCAATACTGCAGTTACTCACCGGTTCTGTTTTACATTTACCATATGCAATAAGGAGAGTAAGAGAGTAAGAGAGAGAAAGAAAGATAGACAGACCGCTATGAATAGCATCATGTGAGCAAGCGTTTGATCCTCTCAGGATAGAACTTTTCATCCACATAAATAATTTTGTAGAAAGCTCTGTTCACACAGGTCGTACAAGACATAAAAGTTTACAATGCACTAGTGTTTAGACATTCTTTTCACTGAAGCAGGTTAAGAAAAGAATAGGGTAACCAAGTATGCACACTTCACTCGGGCTGTACTTCATCAAACACTATTCAAGGTTTGCCGGTGTCATCTCAGGATCATTCAAACAGGGGTTGCTCGATTCTTCATCAAAAATGTTTTTCACCGTTAGTTATAACCTAGACAAATGTCGTTAGAACTGCTGTGGATAGCATTACACTATAATAGCCCAGTATTTGCGCTTCAAAACCGGTTTTCTGTTGTGGATTAATGATACCAGCTGATGAACGGCATGTTCAGTTCGGTTGCTGAAACCCGTGTGATCACTTGCGCGTCGCAAATAGCATGAAAGAATGATTTGATAGTGATTCGAAAAACTCGAAAGTTCTCAGCTCATACTTTTATGATACAGGACAATTTTATTTTGCACATAAGTAAATGCACTTTGAAAGGACTATGTGCATCCAGTAATACAAAGATGAACTCCATGTAAATGGGAGAGTACGGATAAAACCGGGATGTCAATTCTGAGTATGGATCTTCGTATACTTTTGCCTCGTTTTCATTGTAACTGTAAGGATATTTTAAGTATTAGGAAAGGCAGAAAAGAGGATACTCATGTATATGGCATTACGATTTTCGAGAAACAGATGGTTTTAGGTCAACACCTGAAGAAAGTCGGTTAAACGAGATTACATCCGCTTGGGCGAAGTATCTGCATGAAAGTGCATAGTTTGCGGGAGGGGAAAGGAATAGTCAAGTTCGATTGAACAAAATCCAAAGCCACAGTGGTAGGAACGGTAGTAGGAAGTAACTGATGGCCGATGAGCCGGCGAGAGCAACTCAAATTTTACCGACTGGTCATTGATGGACTATGGAATCTTGCTTTGAGCCTCGTCAGGAAAACATTGTGAATAACACAAATGCCTCCAGTACAGTGCACATTCGTTTTGTGAAAATTAATTGTAGGTCTGTGAAGATGCAGCTCGTGATTGGAGAGGTGCAGCGCATCGATATTGGATTATGCTATAATATCAAGTGTGAAACCAGGGCTTTTTGTCACATTGTGTTATTGTAACAAATTTGGGTAAGGAAAAAGAATTTTTGGTCATGAAACGTGTAAAAGATTCACCATGAAAAACGCAGTATACCTAAGGATAGGCATGATTTTCCATCAGATACAATCATCAATAATTACCTACTTACTTACTCGATTTTGTAAAATGAGTGTTGCATAACATGATTGCGAGTAAATGAACGAAAACGAGACAGTTGATTCCCATTGGGATGTATGGTTTTACGCATGGTTCAAATTATTTTCGATTGTTCCTTAACTCACACTTTCAACGTGTCTTCTATCTCCGGCTTTTTTTCTAGATTAACGAGCTGACAATGAGATTGGTTGATATTAAGGGAAAATAGTAAGTTCAACCGTGCCTCAAATTCTTTGGTGACCGAGATTTTTGATCAATGTATATACATGTATGGATTATTTTGTAGGTAAAAAGATTTTTCGTACATTTCATTCTCACTTCAAATCCCAAGCGAAACAACCTTTGAATAGAATAATACAGAAAATCGAGATTCATTCACACACAAATCTTTATATTATCGAAAAGAAAACTGAATCCCGATTAAGTTTGTTCTCATCTTATCCTGGGGTCCATAAACCTATTTCAAAGTCAGTATGATCATCTTTTTCACATCGTATTCTGTATGTGTCATGTTACTGATGATAACATGAACTCAATAATCTAGTAACTCACCGTGCCTATATAAAGATCAATTGAATAACCTGCCATTTGGGCAGCTGTACCATGCGTTTCCATTTGGCTGCTCGCAAGCAATCTCTAGCAAGATTACATTTGCTGTGATCTTAATCAGCGCATTCCCATGGCTAATAATGCTTGGTTCTACTACCCTGCGACCTATATCGAGAATGATAAACGTCAGCCGCACCGAATGCTCTATGAAATGCAGGGTTTGACCAGTGTTGCATTCTCGTTCTATTGACACAAAATCCCATGATGTTGAGAAATGCCCCTCGAAAACTAGCTGCACAATTGCACTCAGTTCAATCCACAACAAATTTTATGATGATGATGATGATGATGATGGTGATGATGATAATGATGATGATGACAATGATCCTACTCCTTCTCATCATCATCATCGGCAGAAGCAACAGTATTTTGTGATTGAAACCGTCGATATTTGTTGCCTCATTATTGGCTGTAAAACACTTGAACGGCAGTACCCTCGGGCATAACGTTTGAGGAAACCCTTAAAAAAGCAGGCAGTTTGGTAACTGACCGAAAATATATCTAGCCAAACAGAAGAACTTGATTCAAATACCCACAACACAAAAACTATACCATCTTGTTGAGTGGTTCGGTTTGAATGAACGCGTTCATCCAGTTGGCATGGGACTTCCATTCAATGCTATTGGTACTACCATAAATGGGTTGTATAAGCAAATAAACAGTACTGTACATTAATTAGTGGTCAATCTTAGGTTGCTTGTGATTAACGTGATACCGAAAAGCTTCAAAATGTAACTTTTTACTCAACGTACAGTGGTTTAGTGAAATTGTTGAAATTGTTTTCCCATTGAACTTCACCGTGTTTCAATGAATGTTTTTCAACGCCAAATGGATAGAGTTTGTCTCTCCGACACAGTTACCCTCGGCAGTCATTGAACATGAAAGTATTTGCTAAAATAACAATTCGCCTACTCCGCCTATTGCTCAATCATGACTTCACCGGCCCCAATTATTCATCTCTTACCATCTGTTTCCACTTCGAAAGTCATATGCCCATCTTGCGCAAAGTTCCCAAACGTGAGAATATTGTGGCTCGGTTGGAACGACTCCGTGCACTGAACGCGATGCACTCGATCAAACCGTCCGTCGCACTGAAGAGTGTTTCCAAACCGGGAGATGCTGGTTCGACGGTAAGTTCAGTTGGGCAAGCTGTTGTGCAATGAGTATTTTACTCCTTGGGACCTATTTATTAGCGCTGAACTAGATTATTTTACTTGGCAGAGAATCCTAGGTGGATTCATTGATTACGATACAAAGAGATTGTTTGTAAGACGAAAAACCCTCACTTGCTTAGGTGTAGTCGCTGCTGATCTTCTGTTACTGCGTATTCCTGGAGCAATCCTCATCTATTTATGGCTTAGCACCTAAGTAACCGTTCTTTGTTCACCTAATGGGGGTTTTATTGTTAGTAATACGTTTTTTATATGATGCATTTGCGCACGGAGATTTCCAGTTACAATAAGCCTGACAGAAGACGAACTGTACGATCTCTGTGCTTCTTGTCACCTACAGTAACCGGGATTTTAACCCATGCTGATGATTACTCAAACTAGACCTGACAGTATTATTGTTCACGTTAGATTATACTTTATCCTTCATGAATCAAACGTTGTCGATTTGCGTGAATATTTCAACTATGCAGTCCCCCAATACTAATATCTCATTCGTCGATAGCTCTGAATCGCATGTTTCAAAACGTAATCATTATCGCTTATTGTCCTGAATTCTTATTCTTTTCTCACAGAATCCCGGGCTTGTAAATGGCATGAAAGAGGATTAACCAGGGGCTTGATGTGTCCGAAAGAAAAAAGGTGATTCTAACAATTTTGACAATTTGGTATTCGCGGAGCGAACAAGTCAAAGGTACGACCACAACCATCAACGTCATCCGTCCTCTGCACGGCATCGTTATTCTCATTCTTTCCACTTCCACTTCCACCACCACTATCGTCATCATCATCGTCATCTGCCCTAGAATCCCCACTGTACAGTGACACTTCCTGAACCCCCTAGAGGCATCCCGTGCATTTGCTCTTCAATTTCGACAGATTGCCGACTATTTCTTAAGCCCAACATTCACGAACAACCCGATTATCTGCTATTGCACCTTCTGAGACGCCCAGAACAGAAGACTGGAAGTGGTTTCATTGTTCCAGGTGTGATCGCCTGATACGTTCGCGTAGCACAACTACCCTTTGATGTCACCCCTCGTGTTTCACCCAATTGTCCGTTTGGTTAGGCTTAGTCTGTCGCTTTTTCTGTGTCTACCGGTGTGCACGTATTTGCATGCGTGCTCACGTGAGGATGTGTTTGTGTGTGTGCTTGTTTGTATAAGAAAGCTAAATTGATTTCGTGAGCACAATATTCCGTCCGCTCCCCCCACACCCTACGCATCTATCCCCACCCCCAATGCCTGAACCGTATTCTCATCGAAATCACAGATTTCAAGTTTCTCCCGGTTAGATTAATCCAGAAAACCTGAAAACCACTTATGCGAATTGCCCGTTGACTTTCGGTTTTGTGTCTTTTTTTGTTTTTCGTCGTTTCACTCACAGATTGTTTCCATGATTACCCGTTTTACTGATTGCATCTATGCGATAGCCTACTACGCTCTAACACACAGGCTAATCGATAGATTCCCACTATTTTTTGTTCGCAAACTCTGTATACTTTTTTGGACCGGGACCAATCACCCACGCTGTCCCATCCCTCTGGTCCCCCGCTGCTCTGCCAACTTGACTTGAAGCAAAAAAAAACAAAAAACCATAAATAAACACATTTCTGTGGAGATCTGATTGTTCGTCCCATTAAATTGTGATCTTTCGGATGACTATTTGAAATGGAAAAATATTAAAATTAACCAGAAGCACCTTTATGCACATGTATTTAACAGTTACTCAATGTGTTGGGATATGCCTGAATGTACTTTGTGTTTTATCATACTTGTGCGTGTGTGTGTGTGTGCATGTCGAAATGTGTGTGTATGTGTATGTAAATGTACATAGAAACAGTTTCATCGCTGCCAACCGGCTTTTTGTATCTCTCTCTGTCTATCCACCTCATGTGATACTACTGAAATGGACCATTGCCTCATTTCTGTTTCTGAAACACACACACACGTACACAGAGAAGACGAAACATGTGGCTTCTCTTCTATGCTATTTCAGTCTGAGGGAGAGAGAACTTGATTTCGGCACAGAGAGAGAACCTGAGCGCGATAGAGCACCACTCTTTTCTGTCCACAGACCCAACCAGAATTTTGCTCTGCTCCAATTTGCCCAGTGAGCGTCACACCACTGTTGTGAAGCTATAGAAGTATGTGGACAAGTGTGCGCGGGCGCTCGCACTAATGTTATATATAGATGGGATACAGTCCCGTGTGTGTATGCAATAAAAGGGCACCGCATATACTCGCCATAAACCAGACACAAATAAAAAAATCCATGCATATATCTTTCTATCATTGCAGTTGAACTATTCAGTCCGGTCCGTCGTTCGCCAAGTGGTTCGAGTACACATGTACATTCACACACACATACACATATATGCATGAAAACAAACCAAAAGCTTTGGAAATAAGGTGTACTTATTCATGACCCAGAGTGGGATCACAACCCCATTGGTGTGTGAGAGATGCGGTTACGCACCTATCCACCTATCTCTTTATATCACGTGTTAGGTGGAGTGAAGGTGCATGCCGGTTTTTGCTATTTTCTAATAGATTTTGATTAACTTTGACAAGAGACGTTTTCTTTCGAATCCGCACCCATAGCACACACGCATACACACAATGAAAAAAAAACGAGTTTAAAAAAATACAATAGCAATAAACAATTATTCGCCTTGACTTTTTGTTCTGCTTCTCTCGTCCGTGGTGATGGCTCTGTCTGATATTGCAGTCTGAGCGTGATAAGGCTCGATCGTAGCAATGTATACGGTAATTGTTCACTGTATTACGCTACAGTATTGGTTAAGGCAAAGTGGAAATCTGCTCGTTTTCGGGTAGTTAGAGTGTAAGTGGATGAGGGGATAGAGATTTCAGGTCGATTTAGATTGAATTGGGCTGAAGGGTTAAAACGGATTAATTGATCACGATCTCATAAGCAATTATGTGACACTTATTGATATAATAATGGGGTTGGTATAAGACATCCAGGGGGAATGTGATGGAGCTAACAATTTGTTTCGGGGTGCATAAAATCTAGGGTGTTGTTTCAAAAACATGTCAACAGACGGTTGATTCTCTTAATTTATGTTTATCAGTTAAACAGTAGATAAAAATGACAAATAGTATTACTTCCACACTTTTGATTTCGAATAGTAACACAAAAATGAATTGAATACAACAGACAAGGTTTAAATAATCAACCGTGCGGGTTGTAGTTTGAAATCGTTTTCTGATTAAACCAAATTCCATCAGCTTATGGACTTCTGTCCGACGCTATTCATCAGTACCCATAAATAATTCCTTATCTTATCTTATCTTATCTGTTTATCCTTGGCAGATCAGCCATTTGGACATAACGTGCAGTTTCCCTATGAAAATTCATGAGAGAAGCCGGTATTTACTATCCCTATGGAAGTCATCGCTCCCTTGTATGCAAGGATTTCAAAATGGGAGCAATCTGCTCACAATCAGGAAAACAAATCAAATGATATATCTGGGATTATGTATTCAGTAAAACAATCCATTGTAAATAATTCTTGTACCAATTGTCTTCAATAATCAGGGAACAAAAGTAGTATGTGTTTGTGATAGGTAAAGCAGACCGCACAGATGATGAAGATAATAATAAGATGAAAGCTGGATTACCTCTTTTCAGTTTTCAGGCAGGGCAGACGCTTTCGCTGTTCTGGTGTTACAATATCCATTCACAAAGCCTTTTCCACATCGTTACTGTACGTTTGTGAAGTTCTATCGAAAAATCGTTATTGTGAATAAAAATGTAGCGCACATGAGTGTTGGAGCATTTGAAAATCTGGAAAGGTATAATCAACTGACCCGATTCACCCTCGTTCTAATTGTCAACCGAATCAATGGATTCACTCCGTTGATGAGACCCAACAAGGTCCAAACAGCTCTGCAACGCTTCTAATCTTCTCATCCCTTGTGCTACGTTTGCTCCGTAGATGGTGAACTTCATGGTATGGTATTTGAGTCTAAGAAAACTCACAGAGAGTTGTACTTCTCCATTCAGTTGGTTGCAATACATGATGAAACAATTAAACCCTATGTAAGTATTATGTGATAGTTGGGACCAAATTTGACAGAGGAACTCGTAAATATTTGATTTTCCTATTTTAGGTAAAATGAAATAGGAGCAAACGTTTCAGCATGAAATTGCGATCGATCGAGTATAATAAAATACATTTTAGTGGACGAAGTTCACATTATTACTTGTCACACAACAGAGTGCACATTTTAATGAAAATAAATAGCCGGGCGGAGATGGGAAGGCTATAATTAACCAAAATTGGATGTCACGTTATCCAAAACATATCTTAAATACAGGTATAATATATGAACCAATCAACCCTTAGATGGATACTCTCACAAAAATTTATGGAAGGACTGTTTCTGGATCCTTTCAATTTTTGAAACCAGCCACCTGCGTTAGTGGTTCAAACATGGAGGACTCGCAACAACCGGTCACTACCTGACAGTCCCTGTCCTAAAAGTTGCGTCTGTGAAGTATCCAGATGTCACAATAAGTACGTATTTTATTTGGTCTCCCCATGCATCCCGTTTTACTGTAAAAAAAGAAAGCTCCATCGACTGTTTATTTCACTACACAGATGATAATAAACACACCGTTGTTGTTCCACTTACTCACCAATGTGTCCTGATCCTTTTGTGCTTTATTGCCCTTCCCTCACCTGGTTCACTCACGAAACTGCATCGTAGTTCACTTATTCTAACGGCTTCATTCTGATCAACCTTTCATGTGGTCGTCACACCGAAGTTAATTCAAGCAGGATTCGCAGTGAATACACTCATCGTTTGTATCATGATTTAACAACATGTCACTCGCATCCATTAGCACGATTTTAATACGTGCTCCGCATATGAAATTTTACTAAAATATATCCCAGTTCAGGTTATCAGCGATTGTTCTGGTTAACATTCTGAGGGCAGCAAAGGAATTCCGTTGAGACCTTGTTGGATAAAATCATTTCCAGCTACTTGTCAACATTTTATCTCACTGAAATTATTTCTCTTTTGAAAAGATAGTCACTTTTGCATGCTCCAAATTCGATTGAAATGCAGGTGTTGTTTAATCCATAAAAGTTTAGGGCCAACGTTCGTACAAATACGATTCAAGTGGGAGGAAGATTTTGGATTTCTCTGTCACTCTTCCGATCTTTAGAACTCCCGGAACACGACAGGTTCCCATTGCACACCTTGGCAATTACATCCCATAAGTGAAAACGGAATTTGTATATTATTTGCTATCCCCATTAGATTTGGCTAAGGCGAAGTGACATGCATTGAAGTTGGTTGAACAAACGCAGATAACCAAGATGGTTTTTTATGTGCCTAGATAAAACAAATAATTCAATCAGAATTTAGGATGTGTAACATTTACCCCGAATTTGGTTTTTACCTCCAGTTAATTCATTTGCAAAAGTATTAACAAATAAGGTGAAGTCATCGTTGACGTCCGAGAATCAAATCGTAAATTGATACTCGAGAATCTTTTATTGGTTTCTCTTAGCAACACATTTTGCACTCCTCGGTACACAAACTGGCCATTGTATTATAAATGTTTTGATGTAATC